TGTGTGACAAAGAGACGCTAGCAGAACTTATTGTGAATTGGGTAGCAAGAACTCTTCTAAGCTGTCACAATCACAAAAAGGACGAAATTGAGAAGTGTAGCGAAGACAGAGAGTACAAACAAGGATGAACGCAACAGTGACAAAGAAGGAAGATCGAACAATGGTCCGTTCCAGTCAGAGTCCACCGCACTTGCCTCCACACCATCCTACCGTTGAACTGGCGATACTATGGTGCCTAACTTCGCTCTTTCTACATCTGTCAGAGAGTCAGGTATCAGCCGGTATGGCAAGAAATTAACGATTGCATGTCCTGTCCTCATAGTCTCCCTTAAAGTCTTATAGAACGTTAAACCCTTCTCTAAGTAGAGAGGGTAGAAGTTGCGCTGTTGCGGATCACGACCTTACCCGTATTTTTTTGCTGACCCTAACTCTCACCTTATTCACTGGGAATCCGTCTTGCGTACCGTTACCAAATGCCGAGATGATCTTCACCTCCGGGTTCTTGCGCAGTGACGCTTGGTCATACTGAAAGTCATAACATTCACTGCTAGTAACCGTTTTCCATCAATTTTAGAACTCCAGACTGAGGTGTTTTCCTGCAGCATTGACACTGCTTTGGTTCGAATCAGAGGGTGAAACTTACCGCATCACATTTGAACGGCAAGAGCGTGACGTTGCGAGTGAAGATCGGCGTCCAGCTTGACTGCTGAAAACGAATTTATTACTTGGGACTAACCATGGGCCTTGCCGGCTTCGACACCTCTTATTGCGCCAGCCTCCGATGGATGCTCTTCACCGTGATCTCCTACCTTCTGTTGAATTCGGGTACGGCAACTGCGGAGCTTGGCAAATCTTCGAACCTTTTGAAAAAGGAATGTTGTGTACTCACCAGCTTGAGCTCGAATAGGAAGCACGGCTCCCCACTGTCGAAGCCATAGCGATTCATGGCACCGCAGCCCTCCGCATCGAAGACTTCCAGAGGGAATCTGCACCACGCGTGCGCAGGCTGCATGAAAGTGAAATGTGATGCAATGGAACGGCTGCGACTACTCGAAGTAGTAATCAAACACCAAAACAAGCCTAAGTTGCTGACCAGAAGCAAAAAGATAGGCGCTACCGCAAGATAGGGGGCATTCTCTAAAACTAAGCCTGAGAGGAGCAGGATTCCCGGAGAAAATGAAGATTGCTCACGCACCCTGTTATTTCCCTCTGTCGTCATGGCTTGCCCCGATTTCGTAGGAGGA